TGGTAGTAGTAGTAGTATTAGTAATAGCAGCAGTCGTCGTCGTCGTAGTCGTTGCAGTAGCAGTAGTAGTAGTAGTAGTAGTAGTAGTAGTAGTAGTAGTAGTAGCAGTATGTGTAGTGGTAGTAGTGGTAGAAGTAGTAGTAGCAGTAGTAGTTGTAGTTGTTATAGTAGTAGCAATGGTAGGGGCAATTGTACTTGGCAGGATTGGTAGCAGCAGTAGTGGTAGTAGTTGAAGCAGTAATAGTAGTAGTAGTAGTAGCAGCAGTAGCAGTAGCAGTAGGAGTAGGACTAGTAGTAGTAGTAGTAGTAGTAGCAGCAGTAGTAGTAGTAGTAGTAGTAGTAGTAGCAACCGCAGTCGTAGTCGTAGTCGTAGGTGTAGTCGTAGTCGCAGTACTAACAGAAGCTGTCGTAGTATTAGTAGGAGTAGCAGTCGTAGTAGTAGTCGCAGTAGTAGTAGTAGTCGTAGTAGTAGTAGTAGTAGTAATAGTAGTAGTAGCAGTAGTAGTAGTAGTCGTAGTAGTAGTAGTAGTAGTAATAGTAGTAGTTCTAGTAGGGAGAGTAGTGTTAGTAAGTTAGTAGGTTAGTAGGTGTAGTAGAGGTAGTAGAGTAGTAGTAGTAGTGTAAGTTGGTGTAGTGGTGGTTGCAGTAGTAGTAGCGGTTTCAACCGTAGTAGTAGTAGCTGTCGTATTAACAGTCGTAGTGGTAGTAGTAGTAGTAGTAGTAGTAGTAGTTGGTGTAGTAGTAGTAGTAGTAGTAGTCGTCGTCGCAGTAGTAGTAGTAGTAGTAGTAGTAGTCGTCGTAGTCGTAGTCGCAGTAGTCGCAGTAGTAGAAGTAGTAGTAGTAGTAGTAGTGTTCGTAGGAGTCGTAGTAGTAGTAGTAGTAGTAGTAGTAGTAGTAGTAGTTGAGTCAGTAGTAGTCGTAGTAGTAGTAATACAGCTAGCTGATTAGTAGTCAGTGTAGTAATCCGATAGAGTATTAGTAGTAGTAGTAGTAGTAGTAGTAGTAGTAGTAGTAGTAGTATTAGGAGCAGTAGTAGTAGTAGTAGTAGTAGTAGTAGTAGTAGTAGTCGTAGTAGTAGCAGTAGTAGTAGTAGTAGTAGTAGCAGCAGCAGCAGTAGTAGTAGTAGTAGTAGTAGTCGCCATAGATGTAGTAGCACATGTAGTTGTAGCTGTAGGAGCAGCAGCGGCAGCAGTAGTCGTAGCACTAAGAGTAGCAGTAGTGGAAGCAGCCAGATGTGCATGGTCATTTGTAGCGGTAGTGTCGGCAGTAGTAACAGTAGTAGTAGTAGTAGTAGTAGTAGTAGTCGTAGTAGTAGTAGTAGTAGTAGTAGTAGTAGTAGTAGTAGTAGTAGTAGTAGTAGTAGGTAGTAGGTAGTAGTAGTAGTAGTAGTAGCCCTAGTAGTAGTAGTAGTAGTAGTAGTAGTAGTCGTAGTTGTTGTCGTAGTAGTCGTAGTAGTAGTAGTAGGAGGAGTAGGAGTAGGAGGCGGAATAGTATAGTAGTATCGATCGTAAGATTAGTAGTAGTAGTAGTTGTTGTAGTAGTAGTAGTTCGAGTAGTCGTAGTCGTAGTCGTAGGCGTAGGCGTAGGCGTAGGCGTAGGCGTAGTCGTAGTCGTAGCCGTACTAGTGGTAGTCGTAGTAGTAGCCGTAGTAGTAGTAGTAGTAGTAGTAGTAGTAGTAGTAGCAGTAGCAGTAGCAGTAGCAGTAGCAGTAGCAGTAGCAGTCGCAGTAGTAGAAGCAGTAGGGGCAGTAGCAGCAGTAGTACCAGTAGTAGTAGTAGTAGTAGTAGTAGTAGTAGTGGGGGCTGTCCGCATATGGATTGTCAATCATGTATTAACAGTAGTAGTAGCAGTAGTAAGTAGTAGTAGTAGAGTCGTAAGTCGTAGTCGTATAAGTAGTATAGTAGTAGTACAGTAGTAGTAGTAAGTAGATATTAGTAGTAGTAGTAGTAGTAGTAGTCGCGTAGTGGTCGTAGTAGTGGTAGTAGTAGTAGTAGTAGTAGTAGTTATTGGGTCAAGGGTGCGAGTAGTAGTAGTAGTAGTAGTAGTAGTAGTAGTAGCAGTTGTGGTTCCAGTAGTAGCAGCAGTCGCAGTAGTAGTAATAATAGTAGTGGTAGTAGTAGTAGTCGTAGTAGTAGTAGTAGTAGTAGCAGTAGCAGTTTTAGTAGTGGTATCAGTCGTAGTAGTAGTAGTAGTAGTAGTAGTAAGTAGTAGTAGTAGTAGTAGTAGTAGTAGTAGTTGTAGTCGTAGTAGTAGTAGTAGTAAAAGTAGTAAGTAGTAGTAGTAAAGTAAAGTATTAGTAATAAGTATAGTGGTAGTAGTAGTAGTAGTAGTAGTAGTAGTATTCGTAGTCGTAGTCGTAGTAT